TTACTGTGTGTTCTCATTGTTTTGCATGTATCAACTAATTGAATTCTCAAAACAACCCTGTGAGTTTGGTACTGTTACTGTCTCGGGGTAGAGCTACCCTCCTTAGAGAGTTAGAACTTGAACTTAGATTCTCTGATTCCAAAATTTGTATTAATTCTGCCCTACTACTACTGTATTATTCCTGCATGGGAGAATATATAGTTCATAACAAGATCAAGATGGCTTTTTTTTTTTTTCGGTGTCTAACTAGTATCCAGAAAGAACCTTCTGTAGTGTATAACATGTGGCAATCGGGGCCAGGCACAGTATCCAGAAAGAACCTTCTTTAGTGTATAAATGTGGCAGTCGGGGCTGGGCGGTGCCTCACACGTGTAATCCCAGCAGTTTGGGAGGCCGAGGCTGGTGGATAACTTGAGAGCAGGAGTTCAAGACCAGCCTGGCCAACATGGTGAAACCCGTATCTCTACTAACAATACAAAAAAATTAGCCGGGTGTTTTGACATGCGCCTGTAGTCCCAGACTCCTGGGAGGCTGAGGCAGGATAATTGCTTGAACCCGGGAACTGGAGGATGCAATGAGCTGAGAATGCATCACTGCACTCTAGCCTGGGTAACAGAGCTAGACTTTGTCTCAAGGGAAAAAAAAAAAGGCCAGGTGCAGTGGCTCACGCTTAATCCCAACACTTTGAGAGGCTGAGGCAGGTGAATCACCTGACGTTGGGAGTTCGAGACCAGCCTGACCAACATGGAGAAATCCCATCTCTACTAAAAATACAAAATTAGGCAGACGTGGTGGCGCATGCCTGTAATCCCAGCTACTTGGGAGGCTGAGGTTTGGAGTTCCTGAGGTTTGAGGTCGGAAGTTCAAGACTATCCTGGCCAACATTGTGAAACCCTGGTTCTACTAAAAATACAAAAATTAGCTGGTTGTGGTGGCACATGCCTGTAGTCCCAGCTACTCGGATCACTTGAACCTGGGAGGCAGAGGTTGCAGTGAGCCAAGATTGTGCCACTGCACTCCAGCCTGGGCGACAGAGTAAGACTCCTGCTTGAACCCGGGAGGCAGAAGTTGTGGTGAGCTGAGATCACATCATTGCACTCCAGCCTGGGAAACGAGTGAAACTCCATCTCAGAAAAAAGAAAAAAATATTCCGATGTTGTTGAACAGAACATAGTAGATTTTTGAGTAAGTTGCCAAAAAAGAAAACCATTAGTTTTGACTGTTAAAGGCAGTTCTGAAATCTAGTTTGTAAATTAGTTAAGGTCAGAGCCTGTAGCTTTCTTTTCTTATGCTTAGAGTGATTATGACTATTGCAAATGAAATGAAATTCAGTGTAAGACATGTGGCTAGTTTTTCTGCTAATATTATCTTCTGCCACTTTATGGAAAAGTTGACATTATAGTTAATATTTCAGCAGTGGGTTGAGAGATTTCCGACAGGGAAGGAAGCATTTGAGACTTTTCACCTGGTCAGCTGTTTAGTGGTTTCTTATTCTGGGCTTTATAATTATAAGTAAGGCATCCTTAGAATCTGGTCTTCGTTGGGATAAAGGCGACTCATGAAGGAGCAACAACGTGTAATCTTAAAGGATGCACTATTCAATTTGACCATTTGACATAGCTATGGGAAACTTCAGCTGCAAAAGTTGGCCAGATAATCAGCATGTCAAGTGTCTTCTGAGAGAGCCTCTGCTAGTGCTGGGACTCCTGGTGACTCTTTTAGAGGATGAGACATGGGAAGCTGTGTGTTGAACATGATTCTGTGGCCATGGTGAAATAGCCCCTAAGAGCTAATTGCTTAAATGACCAGAATACAGGCTTCTGAGCTGATCTTTGTAGAAAGGCCAAGGCAAGCCTGTATCATTTACATTTTGGTTACTTAACCAAATCGGAAATTTAAGATGGAAAATGGCCACGGATATTTCTGTTTTTTTTTTTTTTTTTTTTTTTTTTTTTTTTGAGACAGAGTCTCACTCTGTCGCCCAGGCTGGAGTGCAGTGGCCGGATCTCGGCTCACTGCAAGCTCTGCCTCCCGGGTTTACGCCATTCTCCTGCCTCAGCCTCCTGAGTAGTTGGGACTACAGGTGCCCGCCACTTGCCCGGCTAGTTTTTTTGTATTTTTTAGTAGAGACGGGGACGGGGTTTCACAGTGTTAGCCAGGATGGTCTCGATCTCCTGACCTCGTAATCCGCACGTCTCGGCCTCCCAAAGTTCTATTTTTTTAAAATTAATTTCCATTCTGATTTTTTTACTTTCACTGCATTCTGATTTTTTTTTTTTTTTTTTAAACAAGAGTCTCACTGTCGCCCAGGCTGGAGTACAGTGGCACGATCTTGGCTCATTGCAGCCTCTGCTTCCCAGGTTTAAGTGATTCTCCCGTCTCGGCCTTCTGAGTAGCTGGGACTACAAGGCGTGTGCTGTCACACCTGGCTACTTTTTGTATTTTTTAGTACAGATGGGGTTTCACAATGTTGGCCAGCCTGGTCTTGAACTCCTGACCTCAAGTGATCCGCCTGCCTCGGCCTCCCGTATTGGCTTGAGCCACTGCACCCGGCCCACCACATTCTGTTTTGAATTATGCTTTCAGTAAACTATAATACGTAATAAAGGCCAGTGTCAGTGAGAATAGTTGGCACAGGAGCATTGACCTTGTTCAGAAGATAGATGTTAAAATTGAAGTCACGTCACTGCCAGTGTTCTCAGATGGTTTGATCCCTGTTGCTGAGATCTCGTTTCAGGCCTGGCCTTGATGCTTCCCATCTTATATGGCTTGTTTTGCCCACATATTTTTTCAATTCAATAAGCAGACTTTTAAAATTGAGTAAATAATGTATGGTGCTGTCCTCAGAGGGCTTATAATTCAGTGCAGAGACAGATTTATATGCAAATATAAATAACTTATACAAAGCATGGTAAGTGAACTGCCTAACACAGTTCTTTGGAAACCTCGAGAAATGAGAATGGTATTTGAGGCTAAAGGAAAAATAGCTTGAGCTGAGATATGGAGATAAGAAAATATGCAAAACAAAAACCGCTGAGTAAGTCTGTTGTGATGGGAATGGGGGTGCTGTGTGAAGTACTGGGAAAGGGGATCAGCTGTGTGGTTTGAGACTTGGCCCATGCTGCCTTTATGATTTGAGATCTTGGACAAATTACCTTACTTTTGCAAGTCTCAGTTTCTTCCTATTAAAATTGGAATGACAAGAATCACTCATAGTATTATTAGAATTAATGTATGTGAAAATGTACTGTATAAACACTTAAGCTCTTATAAATTATTGTTATTTTTGGTGTGGAGTATAATAGCAGATGATGATGTGGAGATAGGTTGGGACCAGTGTGTTGTAGGAATGCCAACAGAACTAGTTTGGACTTTGTTCTATAGACAGTAGAGAGCCATCAAAGCTTTTAAGCAGGAGCATAACATGAGTAGGTCTGTTTTATAAGGGTAGCAGATGGCAGTGGTGTAACACTGATTGCAAGGATCCTGAGACCAAGAGCCGCAAGACTAATTAGGAGGGTATCACAGTGGCGAAGTAAAAAGAAACTTAGGCTCTGAGTTGGGACAGTGGAAGTGGATTTGGCAAGGAGTTAATATAATCTAAAATCCCTAAAATAGGGAGAAATTGTTGGCTAACGAGATGAGGGTTATTAAAGAAGGAAGGAGTTAGAGATGAATCTAAATCTGACCTGAGACTAGAAAGTGGAGGAGTAAGGGAGAGTGCAGCCTCTAGACAGATTTAGGAAAGTGAAGAAAAGAGAGAACAGATTCCACAGATACGTAGTCTGTTCAGCAGAAAGATTATTTGTTGAATGAATGGGTTGAGTTATTGAGGCCCCATGTTGTTTAGGGAGACTGTTTTGAGTAGTGGCTAAAACCTCTGGAATTGGAATCAAAGACAGTTTTGAATCCTGATTCTGATACTTCTTGTGTTCTTCAACAAGGGACCTAACTTGTGGGCCTTGGTTTTCTCATCTGTAAAATGAGATAATAAAACTTACAAGATTTTTTTTTCTTTTCTTTCTTTTTTATTGAGACAGGATCTCTCTCTGTCACCCAGACTGAAGTGCAGTGGTGTGATTTTGGCTCACTGCAGCCACAATTTCCCGGTCTCAATCCATCTTCCCACCTCAGCCTCCTGAGTAGCTGGGACTGCAGGTGGGCGCCACCACGCCTGGCTAATTTTTGTATTTTTTGTAGAGACAGGGTTTGGCCATGTTGCCCAGGCTGGTCTCGAACTCCTGTACCCAAGCAATCTGCCCTCCTCGGCCTCCCAGAGTGCTGGGATTACAGACGTGAGCCACCGTGCCTGGCCAGGATTGTTTTAAGAATGGGAAGAGATAGCACATCTTGGCACATGGATTGCAGGTGTGTGGGAACCTTGGTTCTGAAGGTAGGGAGATAGTGTGGGAATGATTCCCATGGTAGAGCTGTGGGAATGGGCATATTCTTCACAGGCAGCTGACTGGGGGCCATGCATATACATATTTAAGAGTGAGAGGAAGATAATCAGAGAAAGGAGATGAAGAATGCTAAGAGAGGACAGCGGTGGCCAGGGTTATGTCTGTCAGCCGTTTACGTTCTCATATGTAATGTGCTAAAAACATGTATACATGTTTAGTAACACTTCTTATAAAACTATTGTATAATTGAAACACATCTAACTTTAATGTAACAGTTTATATATTTATGATATATATACACACATATAAATATATGATAAAATATGTTGCATTGGTATTAGAGATTTTAAGTCTTCAGCGAATCATTAGCTGTGTATTTTTTGAAGTATTAGCATGTTCTCAGTAAATTTGGTTTGTGGACATATGCCTTATTCTTTTTCAAATTTGGTAGTCATTACAATTTTTTTTCCTCATACTGAATTTGCAAAGCAGGGCATCAAATATCTAGCAAGAAATGAAAAGTGCTTTATTTTTTTCTTAACATGGTAGCTATGCATATACGTCTGTTAATTGTATTTTTTTGGTTCTAAATAATAGATTCTTTATACAATTGCATTTGTACGAGTGGATGAACATACCATTGGTGATCCTGAGGATTTTTGTCAAGATTGGATAAACCATGTATCACATTGATTGTAGAGGTTAGTAGATTTAGTTCCTTAGGATGTGTGCATTTTTTTTTTTTGTAGGAGCATTTAAAAATGCATAGGTTATGAGGTAGCAATTTGCCCCCAAGATCATCATGTTTTTGTTTTTGGTTTTTTCCTTTTCTAGCTATCCTGAGATAATTGGTTAAGTTCATGTTAATTTACAAATGCCTGAAATCTCTATTCTGTGATGCTAAACATAAAAAAAAAATTTGCAAAAAGAAGAAAAAGATAAAACTTGAAGTCTTTTTTTTTTTTTTTTGAAACTGTCTCACTCTCTTGTCCAGGCAGGAGTGCAGTGGGGCAATCATGGCTCACTGTAGCCTTGATCTCCCAAGGCTCAAGTGATCCTCCTGCCTCAGCCCCATCGAGTAGCTGGGACTACAGGCGCATGCCATCACGCCTGGCTAATTTTTATATTTTTAGTAGAGATGGGGTTTTACCATGAAGGCTGGTCTCGAACTCCTGGGCTCAAGCGATCCACCTACCTCGGCCTCCCTTGGAGATGTTATTTAGCACTGTGCACAAGGAAAAGACGATGGATGATCGTTTACAAATAACTTTGTGTGCCACAATCACAAAAAATCATTTTACATGCTCCAGGAATGCCATCATGGAGTTTTTTTTTTTTTTTAATTTTTAATTTTTTTTTTGAGACAGGGTCTCGCTGTGTCACCAGGCTGGAGTACAGTGGCACAATCATGGCTAACTGCCACCTTGATCTCCTGGGCTCAGGCAGTCCTCCCACCTCAGCCTCTCTAATAGCTGGGACTACATTTTGTTTTTGACACAGGTCTCCCTTTGTTGCCCAGGCTAGAGTGCAGTGGCACAATCATGGCTCACTGCAGCTTGACCTTCTGGGCTCGAGTGGATCCTCCCACCTCAGCCTCCCAAGTAACTGGGATCATAGTTGTGTGCCACCATGACTGGCTACTTTTTTTTTTTTTTGGTAGAGACAGAGTCTCTATGTGTTACCTAGGCTGGTGTGGAACTCATGAGCTCACGCTGTACTCCTACCTGGGCCTCCCAAAATGTGATTTTAGGCATGAGCCACCGTGCCCAGCCAGTTGTTCTGTTTGTGAAAAGAGGTATGAAGGAGGCATCATGGTAATTGGATGTTCCTAATTCTGCCATTTTGTCATGCATTGTGATTTTGAGAAAAGCCATTTAATTCTACTTCATTCTAAGGCAGAGAGTATGGTGTCCTTTTCACTCTTAGATGATATTGGATGGTCTTTTGATTGAAACTCTGTAAATTCAGATTGTAATTCTCTGATATCATGGACTCAATATCCAGTGAGTTCCTGGGATTTTGTAGCTTCAATTCAAAAGTGCTTTTTGTTGCTATCTTCTAATTTAACTGTTGGACCCCTTCTCCCTACCTTCCTATGCATTCTACTGTATTTTGGTATATATATTGCTGCTGCTGCTATGAAATGTCTTCTTTAGGTGAAATTTTGAGGGATGGGATAATTTTGAAACCAGAATTCAACTTTAAAATAAATTTTGGCCTGTTTTTGCTATTTTCGCGTATCTTTATTTCTTGGGCGTTTAGAGAAATGACAGATTGGGAGATTGGAAGAATTGTTTAGAAGAGCAGTGAGGACATTGTTTATTCCCTCCTAGATTCTTTAGCTCCTAGAACTTTTGAGCTTGTGATTGATATGTTAATATCATTATGATATACTGAAGGCAAAAGTGAAACTACAACTACTAGGATTTAAATAGGGTTTTAAAAAAAGAACATTCTAGGGTTTACACACCCAGATGAGCATTGTTCGTATAAGTAGCTGCTTTGAGTGGATCTTAACTATCGTACATTTGACTTTTATGCAGTCTGAACTCTTGCATAGTATATATTATTTCTTCTAAGCTAGCTTTCACAAGCTGAAGTAATCTTTCCTGCTCGTCACCTCCTAAAACCGATTTCTCACTGAGTATCTCTGCCAGCCGCTGTCTCTGGGGGAAAGGGCCTTGGAAGGTAGGAGTGTTTGTGGACCTCAGTGTCAGGAGTCTGCCACTTACTCATTAAATCTAGGGCTTCTGTCTTGTCACCTGGCCCAATCTTGCCAAGCTACTCCTATGATTTCCTCCCCTTCCTCTGTGTGTGTGGGTGCGGTGGGAGGAGAGGACATGATGGGGTTGTGGGGAAGGGAGTGTGGGGTGGTAAGCAGTATGAGCAGGGAGGGATAGCCTTGTTATGGGCTATGCTGGATTGGCAGGGAGTTTGAAGTAGACTGGAATCATATGCAAAAGGCCGGGCACAGTGGCTCACGCCTGAAATCCCAGCACTTTGGGAGGCCGAGATGGGCGGATCACGGGGTCAGGAGTTTGAGACCATTCTGGGTAACACAGTGAAACCCCATCTCTGCTAAAGATACCAAAATTAGCTGAATGTGGTGGCACCTGCCTATAGTACCCTCTACTCAGGAGGCTGAGGCAGGAGAATCGCTTGAACCTGGGACGCGGAGGTTGTGGTGAGCAGAGATTGCGCCACTGTACTCCAGCCTGGGTGACAGAGCGAGACTTCATCTCAAAAAAAAAAAAAAGAAGGCCAGGGAAAGAAAGAAAGACTCTAGCCTGACCTGTAGTGGATCCAGATGCAGGGGTTTCCAGATTAGGGTATCTGCCTGGGCCCTGTGGGGACAGACTGGTGGACTAGGGAACAGAAAGATAATCTGTCTGATTGCCTTAATTCTGTGGGGCAGGGTTACTAGCAAAGGACTCCATCAGCAGGGACCTCCTGCTCAGGACTTGGTTGCCTGTGAAGGTACTCATTGCCACCCCTTGGGCCTTGGCTGGAGAGAGGCAGCTCCTGCAGGAACCATGATGGATTGTCTCTTTCTGATAATGGATCTTCTCCCCATTCCCAGCTTATATTTATGTTTACTGTTAGACTGCCTGACATTCTCCTTTTAAGTACATTTGCATCTGTTGAGTTCTGTAAAAAAGGCTGGGGGTAGGGGTAACTCTTTAAAAACAGGAGTAGAGATCAAATTTCTGGACATTCTTTTTTTTTGAGATGGAGTCTTTTTTATTTTTTATTTTTTTTAGGCAGAGTCTCGCTCTGTTGCTCAGGCTGGAGTGCAGTGGCGTGATCTCGGCTCACTGCAAGCTCTACCTCCCAGGTTCACGCCATTCTCCTGCCTCAGCCTCTCGAGTAGCTGGGACTACAGGCACCTACCACCATGCCTGGCTAATTTTTGTATTTTTAGTAGAGATGGGGTTTCTCTGTGTTAACCAAGATGGTCTCTATCTCCTGACCTCGTGATCCTCCCACCTCGGCCTCCCAAAGTGCTGGGATTACAGGTGTGAGCCACCACGCCTGGTGGGACAGAGTCTTGTACTGTCACCTGGGTTAGAGTGCAGTGGCTCGATTTCGGCTCACTGCTCCGCCTCCCAGGTTCAAATGATTCTCCTGCCTCAGCCTCCTGAGTAGCTGGGATTACAGGTGCCCGCCACCACGCCCAGCTAATTTTTTGTATTTTTAGTAGAGATGGGGTTTCACCATGTTGGCCAGGCTGAACTCAAACTCCTGACTTCGTGATTCACCTGCCTTGGCCTCCAAAGTGCAGGGATTACAGGCGTGAGCCACTGCACCCGGCTGCTTTGTTTTTTTAGAGACAGAGTCTTGCTCTGTTGCCCAGGCTGGAATGCAGTGGCACAGTCTTGGCTTACTGTAACCTCCGCCTCCTGGGTTCAAGTGATTCTCCTGCCTCAGGCTCTCAAATAGCTAGGATTACAGGGGCCTGCTGCCATGCCCAGCTAATTAATTCTTAAAGAAGCATCCTGCTGGCCTCATTTGGGTTTTGCCAAGTATGAGAGTGGCTTTTGGGGAATTGAGATGGTATTTCAAATAGAGGAAGTCGACTTTAACTTCCAGTTAGTATCTGGTTAGATTTATAATTCACAGGATTGATCTTCCAGAAAATATTAGTATTATACACAAAATCTAGATGCCAGCTAGGGCTTCTTTTCCCATAGTTTTAGCCTCAAACTCCTAATTGTACTGACTGTTAGAGTCCATTCTCTTCCCTGCCTTCCAGCCTGATGTATCCAATTTTTGTGAATTCCTTATAGTTTAGTTTCTTACTCTTTTCTTAGTTTCTGGGCTCCCATTTCTGAAAATGTTTCAGCTTGGACATGAAACACACAGACACACTCTCTCTCTCTCTCTCTCTGTCTTTCTCTTTATCTCACACTCACTTTCTTTTCCCAGAATTGGTATGTCCTAGGAAAAGGCCTTGTCTTAAGAGCGCTTGATTTTCTGCTCTTTTACTGGTTCTCCCCTTCTTTTTCATCTTTTTCTGTTCTCTTCTTTTCCTTCTCTCTGCAGTAACTGCTGCACCTCTGCTGGTTTGGAGGCATGTTGTATATAGTTGTCTAGTAAGATTTAGTATCTTCACCTGCTTTCTCGCTTAAACCGTGTCATAATTTAGCATGCTAGAAGGAGCATTGGACTGTCTAGGATTTGAATCAGCCCTGCCACCGTGTAATCTTGGTCAACAGAATGTTTTCAAGGCTCTGTTTTCTCAACTGTAAATTGGAGCTATTACTACTTGCTTTACTAGAAGTTCTTTACAGGCAGGTACTGTGTTCCAGTGTGTGCTTGGAGGGTAGAGGCCTCTGGGTTCAGCTTATTTGTTTTGTTTTTTGTTTTTTGAGACTGAGTCTCATTCTGATGCCCAGGCGGGAGAGCAGTGGCGCGATCTCGCATCACTGCAACCTCTGCCTCCTGGGTTCAAGCAATTCTCCTGTCTTATCCTCCCTAGTAGCTGGGACTACAGTCACATGCCGCCACGCCTGGGTAATTTTTATATTTTTAGTAGAGATGAGATGGAATTTCACCATATTGGTCAGGCTCATCTCGAACTCCTGACCTCAGGTGCTCGGCCTCCCAAAGTGCTGGGATTACAGGCATGAGCCACTGCACCTGACCTGGATTCAGCTTCTGAATCTGTGTATCATTCACACGGTGACCTCTGGCAGGTCAG